AAATGAGAAGCTGCCTGACTCAGAAAAATATAAGGGTAGAAAATCTTCGGTGTAAAACGGAGAAACCAAAAATGAAAACGTAAAGAGAGACGGATCTGCAAACCTTGGGCTCAAGGTTGAAGCGCCCTAAAACGAGATAATGCTCTGAAGCCGACCGACCAGTCTAATTTTGGCCTGACCAAGAACACTACTTCGTAATTGTGCTGAACCCCTCGATGAAACGTGCTTCATCTCGCTGAGGTGGATCGCTGGTGTGTGTAAAATCATTTTCGCCCAGCGGGAATGGCCCCCGCAAGAGCACTGTCAAGTGTCACAGGGTTGGACTGTAAAGGAAAAAAAAGGCACTCCACCCACAACCACTTATGTTAACATTTAACAGTGTGCATGCCAGAGATAGGCCTCTGCCCAGGCCTGCGATAATAGAAATCATCACGGGGGACATAGTGATTATCCCATACAATGACACACTGGTTTTCAGGCCGGAAATAAAAGTAGCTTTTATAATACGCAAACCAAGTTAAATTGCAAGAGATTGGGGAGCTCCTCAAAACCAAGTTGAGTCAGCAAACGGGATCCTAAGATTAGCTCCTTGAGCGCAGCAATTCTTTAAACACACCGCAGGCATCATCCCTTAGTAGATCCACGCCGAAACCAAGCGGCCTCGTAGAGCGCCTGGGAGCATACACCAAATGGTTAGCAAGTTAGCTCCCAAGTACATCACTCCTGCCCCATAGACCGAGGATTTAACCTGGAAGCGAACAAGGAAAGGCAAAAAATGAACTACTGCAAGGCAACGGCATCTCGTGTACGAAGCAAAACCAGTGCAAACACCGGAAATGTCATTTGTATCTTTCAGCTAGGCCACGGTTGTTGTCAACACAGTTCGGCACAAGCTAACCAGGGTTCCTGCGGTTAGGATGACCTAAAAGCCCTCCTTGTGCGTTCATTGCCAAATCCAGGGGTAGCCAAAGACAAAAAGTATACCAAAAACGAGCTAGCTTCTCGTGTATTATTCCCGAGGACTGATGCTATAGGGAGACAATCTCCGTCGGAGCTACAAGCAAACATTATCACAGCGCGATACACGAATGAGTGTAGTATCAGGGTAAAGTGGGATAGTTAGGATTTTTATTACACACGAAGTGGTTTACAGCAGAGGGGCGGTACTTGGGTGTAAAGAAACGCCTTTCACAGAATAGAAAACTGACTTTGCGCGCAGCGCGAGAGGTAAGTGTAGAAATAAAAGGGTACCAACAGGGAGAAGAATTTATGGATAAACCTAAGAGGAAGAAAGAATATGTGTCACGAAGGGGCAGCTAGTCAAAAATCAATTGGGAATATATGGAACCAAGTGCTATCGCTTATATAATTTTGGCATTGGAAATGCAAACCTGTCTAGGAAACCCAATGCCCTAGCAATGACAACCATCCATTGGAAATAATCTTTGTATTCGCTGAAGTTCCCCCTGATGATATTGACGGAAAATTTGGGATCCTTTCGCTATACGTTTAGTGCTTTAAATATGGATCTATCTCCGATTTTTTTAATTCGATTTTAGCCCGCATATGTTCAAGGGATACAGGTTTGTAATTTATCCGATGTTTGAAGATTCATAACACATTCGATGACGATGCAAGTGTGTTCAAACATTTCGCGGACTGATGTTTCCCAATCGAATACAGACAATTGCCGGGAGCTCATTTTCAAACATTTTCCATCGGAGCTGACGGATAAAGAATGCTGCGATTTTCTCAGTGGTCTCGGTGCCATATCCACACGCGTACCTAGTCTTTCTGATTCCCGACAGAAAGTGAGTGACTTCAAAAGGTTCTATCTTTAACTTAGTTTTCAGTACATAGTTGCCGAATTTCCCTCTGTCGAATACGCCTGGAATATTATCAGATCTTTGCACCAAAGACCTATCGTTGATAAAAGACTGAGTGTGGAATTTTATCAAAGTCGTAACGATGAGTGGCAAAAGGTTTTCACCAAATCAGACTCAACGGGACAAGTTGGTGTCACTGGTCATCAACCGTACTCCGGAAAGACTGTCATGGCTCCAAAATGGGATCCCTCATTTCCAGTGCCACCGAACTTAACTTATATTTATCCTTCTCCGACCAATTCTATTCTTACCAATATCTGTCGATGCATGATTTCCTGTCCGTCGTTTTACACTCAGGTTAGTGTGTCTTAGCTTTTTCGATTGTCTTACATCGTTTAATAATTTCAGCGGTGGCTAAACAAAGAATTTCACTAATCACTGGACTGGTTTTTCAGAAAACTAGTCCATTTAAAGCCTTCCCTACTTGTTTAATTTTTTCGCCAATCTTCAGTTATGCTGTTTCCCTAGCATGTATAAAATCTGTGTATAACTGTTAGCTGAATGTGCACAATGATGCGGAAATTCATAGTGATTCATAACGCCTGTCTATGTACATGTTTTGCACAATTCACCGCTTTACAGATCCACCGAATCAGTGTCTTTACACGAATCCGACACGACAGTAGACTGAGGTTTGATTCATTTCGATACAGAGAAACAAAAACATGATAAACTAGGCGGTCAATCAGCGCGTAGAAAAACGTGCTATTGGTTGCCCATTGAGGTATGCTGAACGATTGCGGATCAAACCACAATTTTTCGTTTTCTAGCTAAAAGTGGCGTGCCATAG